GGCATTTAGTTGAATAATAACTACATATATTCGGTCTGCTACCATGAAAAACTTGTTTCGGTAATAAAATCCATGCAAGTTCAGCAGAAGTAAAACTTGTGAACTGACACAGGATCCAGAGCTGATAATGTCGACAGCACTAACTCCTCAAGGCTGTATTTTCCCTCCCCTTTGTTATTCAATATAGTAAAATTTTCCATAATGACTGCCTCCCTCAATCCTATCTTGTCTGCCCTTCCTCCACTGTATTTTCTTTCTCTTCCATATTTTTAACGTGTTGCTATTATCTTAATTGTGCTTTCCAGTCTTTTTGGATTCTAGCATAACCTGGAATGCAATGGCTTATGTATGACCTCATTCCCCCAAAGAGGTAGCCTGATGGAGCCTAATGAGAAGGAAAGAAATGACAATAAAGGACTGAGGTGGAAGTGAAAGGTGAGTTAAAGGTCATAAAGATGAAGTGCTGGAAAAAAAAAAAAAGGACAAGGAAGGTAGGGAGAAAGACAGCTGAGCAACACAGAAAAGACAAGATACAAAACTAAAAGTGTAAGGCAAAAAAGGAGAAAGAAAACTTGAAATGGAGAACAAGTGGAACAGATTCAGCAAAGGAAGGGGAAAAAGCAGGAAGTAGACAATTTAAAGGATCAGACTTCAGCAACCTAATTTCTGAAGGCCTGTCTCCCCTCCACCTCTACCATCTTCAGTTTCAAGACTGTAGGCCCATTTTAGCCTACACAGAATAAGGGAGAACAAAAATTATTGTGGTAAAAGGATTTTAGGTAATAGACACATACTCACAAGGTCACATGTAAATAAATTCATGAACATGCAGTTCCATGAATTTATTCACATATTCTGTGAGCAGTGGTACTATTCATTTGTACTTGTTCACAGGGGAAATTTCTCAACCACTCTCGACTTAGGGAGGCTGGCATAGGATGGTAGCAAGATGATCACAACATGGATGGAGAAGAATTACATGTAGAAAACTGTAGCTTCAAGGTTTGGTTTTATATACCAAAACAAGAAAAGAAACTTGTTTTGATCTTCCTCTCCTTACCTTAATATAGTTTAACCCTTCTATTTGATATGACATTGCCTGTTTCTGTCTTCCTGTGTTAACACAGTAAATATGAACTTCTTTAAAGTATTAATTATAGCCTTCCTGCTTTACAAACTGCTCCTGCACTAAAGATAAAGAGGAAAATATATGTTTACTACATCACCCACATAATTAGTGGAAATTTTGCTGAAGGAAATGTCTAGTGGGCTCAAAGACTTCATTGATTTCCTATACAGTGCAACTTCTGACTGACATCCTGGTACTCCATGTCAAAAGATCCCCATGTGAAATGTCACATTCCCCTGATTTATCCCTGAATAAATCAATAACAAAGCTTTATTTATTTATTTATTTAGGTAATCAGTCATTCACCTTGCTCTCAGTCTCCAAAGAAATATATGGTCTCATAGGCTTGCTAAAAAAAATTAACCAATAGGACGTTAAGACTAGCACTAGCCTGGTATTTCATCACAGAGAAGTTCATGCTAAGATTTATATCATAACCACTGTTGAGCAGTTTATGAAAGTCAAACTCCGACACAACAATCTTTTTGCACAGAGCAGGAAATGCATACTTACTCTTTGAGAGACTGTTCTAAATGCTGCACTTGTAGAAATGCTTCATCTCTCTCTTCATTAGCTAATCTGAGCCTTGCCATGACAGCCTCATCACGTTCCCGTTGAGCAGAATAAACTTCTTCCACCAGAGCTGCAAAATAACCATATTTGACAGGCTCACACTATTTGGTACACCTTATGCAGGCCTTTGCCAGCATCTCCTAAAAATCACCATTTTTCCCTGACCTTGGATCCTCTGGATAAAGTTTGCACGGCTCTTTAGACACAACATTAACTTGCCATTAACTGCTATAATTCATAACTTAAGGAATGAAAATAATGTTAATAGTTTTCAAAATTAAGCCTGCGTAATGACACAGGGCAAAGAAGCGTTCTGCTTTGAATCCTTGCTTCAAGGAAAGGTAAATTTTAAGGCTCAGAATTGTATGAAATGCTAGTAGGTTTCTTCTACAGGACACAGAATTAAGAGTAATGATCTATTAACTATTTTTATCATCACACTGCCTCCAATTAAGGTGGCACACTAGCTCAATCTAATATTTTCATGGCATGTCTATCTCTGGTATCACAAGAGTGGCAAGGCTGGCATCTCTCCTTCGCTGTCAAGCCTTTACTTTATTGTGTAATATACTGTTATATTATCTGTTACAGCATACGTGGACCTTGGAGCATTAGGTGCCAATAAACTAAGATTTACTGTCTATCCTTGGGAACAAACTAACACCTTCAAGCCATTCTTCATCTTCAGCTTACATTTTCTTCCTGCATCTCCCCTGTCAATATGTCTAACATCAGCTCTGGAACATTGCCAGATTCCTTACCTTGACCCTGCTTCCACTAAAATCTTTATTCATACTTTCATTATTTCCCTCTCTAATACTGTAAATCTCTCCTCATAGTCAATATAAAGCCTACAGTCAAAACTTCTAGGACTTTCAGGATGCTATAGTGAGCCTGCTGTCATTCCAAGACAGAGGACCGTCTCTGACATCCTCTCTGTCACAGGCATCTCGAAAAAATTAAACCAAGAGTGAGGTCTCCAGGTTCCAGAATTCTCCACACTCCCTTTCTAGTTTGCCAAACTATTTTTTAGCCACAGAGAATCCTAAGACCAAGCTCCGATCTCTATCAAATTTTGGCTATTTTTACCACTCTTTTTAGAGAATCTTTTGTATCAAGGCATTACTGCTAGGCTTACTCTAAAATTTCTGCCCTTCTCTTGAGCTACTGGTAAAGCCATTAAGTTAAGATCTCAAAGAAACGCTTCCTGTTCACTTTAGCCTACAGTCTATACTCCTTCTGTTCTTTCCAATACATGACAACAACTTTGTTGCCCTTATGAATTAGTTTTCTCTACTCTTACTTCACCTTTGTACATTGTACAAAAACTTCACAGTAGTTGCTTTGTGTAATATAGTATAAAGCACTTTATGGTTCTTCACAGGAATGGAACAATATAAAAGTAGCAGCACATTTTGGTAATAACTATCCGGCTGGCACTAAATACATTTTATGAGTACTGAAGGGGGAAAAAAGGAAATACAAAATGTAGTAAGTTTCAGTATAGTGCACAAGTAGCTCTGATAAGCAGGGATGTAAGATGAGAAGAAGAAAAGAATCTGGAGAGAGGAATTAGAAAGATGCTCAAGGTAGGAAAGCAATCCTCTTGTTAACCTGGGAAAAGAGGGGTACTGAGGAGTAAAGAAGCATTTTTTGCAGCTTTAGCAAAGGGCTAAAAGCTGAACAATAAGAACAGACTGGACAAAAGAAGATATAGAAAGGTTACATGTTATTCTGGGGATACAATCCCAGAGATATGTCCCTCCTCTCACAAAAATCTGCAGAGGAGTTGCAAATCCAGTGATCAGGTTGGAGACGTAATAAACTGTGCACCAACAAGAAAAGTAATAAACAAAACTCAAAGATCTATTTAGTTCTCTTCTATTTGAATATTCAATTGCTTCACAGGAATAGGATCTTTCTTTTTCTTACAGATCTGTTTGCTCTATTTGCACCAAGAAAGCATTACTTGGCATGGAATAGAAAAAGGAAGGCATGAGTAAAGCAGCTGCAGAGCTGCAAATGCACAATTTGGTAGCCAGGAATAAGTAAGCAGTACTTGTAGAACGTAAGTCTAATATCTGCTGAGTGGCTCAACAAGAACAAACAAGAATAAGTTGTACTGGGAGGGCTGTGCAGTTCGGCTTGCCAGACTTCCATGAAGACTGCTGAGATCTGTGATGGCACAACGATGCCAAAAGCAGAGAAACTCAGCATTGAGTGACTGCGTAAACTACAGTGAAACGACTGTGTCCAAGGTAGATGTGAAATACAAGAGTAGTTTAATTATGTATAGTACTTGTTATCTATCTGTACCTTAAAGTATTTGTTTACTGAAGTTTTTTCAGTAAATTATGTCAGTTTATCTAGCATCATGCTAGACACACAACACAGAGAACCTTTATGCTTTCCATCATATTTCCATGAAGCTATAAGTGTAAGCTCTATACAATTTTCATAATGGACACAACTGTTGAAATGAATAAAAACTACACAGATATCTAAAATTACTATAGATATGGCACTTACCACTGTTTAGAGGTTAACTAGTTCCCAGGCTAGTTAATTTCTTTTTGGTCTCTTTGAGTGCCCCTCTTCCTCTGACTTTATATGTTCCCTACCTCAGCACGGAAAACTGCAATTCTCTGGCTGCTAGAACGGCTCTTGAGCATACAAGTATACTTACGGACTTAGGACTGTGTTTGGTCATACCTAATTCCCTCCCTAAATAACTATATCCAGTGGTAATAATGACTATGCTGGTTTTATAAACCAGACTCTTGCTTGTTTGTGTTGAAACTAAAGTGTTATATACAAAGCAGGAAGAAAAAATTCAGAGAAAAAAGATTTTGAGTGACCTAAAAATCCTGCTTATCTGAAATGTTACCATCCCTGATATGAGTCAAGAGGCTGATTGCCTTGAACAGTGAACCCTCCCCCTCCCTTCTCCCCCCAAAAGATCCATTACAAAATACTGTCTTTAAACTAATGGCTATGGAAAAGTAATTTACCTTGAGCAACTCTCTATTCTTCTGTTTTTTCCTTACTCTTCCGTTAAACTAAAGCATTGGAGTAAATATCCCAATGATCAGATGCACCAATTACATCAATAAATTTGAACAATAGTTCCACATCAGTTATGACAGTGTTTGGTTTTTTCTTTTTCTTTTTATACTACAATAGATTTGACAGACTGTAGAAAAACGTTTAAGATACCTGCAGGTAATCCAAGTTTAAAAAGAAGACCCCCCCACCACCACCAAAAGAAAGCACAGTGGCACTTCAGTACTGTGTAGCAATACTGGCAGTGACCATAAAAAGTGTTATAATAAAAAAAAAAACTTAAAAACAATAAAGTCCTCCTTGTCACTCATTTCAATGAGCTACTGAAGGCTTAACAACCTGATTTCTCTATCAGCTACAGCATCTCCTGATTCTAGTTTACACATCTATGTGTATCTAATATCTACATATTTCTAACTCTATTTAATAATTTTAAAAATTCCTTTTTTAATATTATATGAGATATCATAATAACTACACAGTTTCAGGTGTCTGAACTAAGATATTTTTAACAATAACGTTCAACATTCAGACTGAGCTATGGATAAGTCACAAGTAAAAGTAAGGCTCAATTCCTGAAAGCTGCTTTGCAGAGACGGACTCCCACGTACACTGCCATTAAAATGCCACGTACACACTGCCAAAAATAAATAAAATCTCCAAACTTAAAAACGAAAAGAGTCAATATCAGAGTATTAACCCTGAATTAAAGAATTATAGGGGTTACTTCTGGCAAAGTTGGGCAAAGAACATGGAAGAAGGAATATTTCTCCGCATTTCCAAACAGAGATTCAGCATTATCTTAGTCTCTGTGATCCTAACTGAACAGTGCCACACTTTATTCACGTACACAGCTTACCAAAATCATAAAGATCACAAGATTCTTCAAAGAAGTTAGATTAAAAAAAACATTTTCACAAGTCACTGAAATATATACACCTCTGGGCTGCAATACAGCAGCAATAGAACATTTTATGTCATATTTAGAAAAGTATTGAGGTATAAGGTGTCCATAAAAACATGTACAAGAGATATGGACATAAAAATCCTCCATATTAAAACAAGCAATAAATATCCAGATTATCATCCCTACGCTTCTTAAAAATGCCAGAAGAAAATGAATGAAAGTAAGAAATCATGCTCTTAAGTTCCATTCAAGGTATGGCATATCCAGCAAGCCACTAGTTCCATACTGGAACACTGACTTGATGTCTGAGTCAATGAAAAAGTAATCCAGCTACTTAGTCACCAACTGCTCTGGTCGACACCATGAGGTTTTTCTTGGAGGCATTCCAGCAGTGTACCATCCAACCCATCCTGTTTATCTTGAGGCCTGACCAACAAGAAATGGGAATTCTTATAGCACTAATGTTTCAAGCAAGAAAGTGACATACAAAAATGAAATACGAACAGTCAGATATTAAGTTAAAATGAATTGTGTTATTTAGTAATTCATATACATATAACAACAGGCTTGAGTTATATTTCATTCCCTCAGTGCTCAATTAAGAAAAAAGAATGATTTTTCCAATGCTTATAAATATTGTAATATATACAAATACGACATTGCTATTTAGTTGTATAAACTTTATTTGCTTTGGAATAATTTAGTAACATCTTTCTCCTTGTAACTAAAACCCCTGCCTACTCTAAAAGAGCTCTTTATTTTAAAAGAATCGTTATGCTAAACTCATCAAATCTAAAATATTTTTAGTTTTTAGTAAAGAAAACAATTGTAAACAGAGAGCTTTTGTAAGGTAGATAGCTATTACAAAGTTCAGTTAGAAAATCAATATAGCATTTTAGCTGGAATTTGCTCATTAAACACCCACAGCTCTAATGCAAATTATGATGGAATGAATAAAGCAAATACATATGCTTCTTTCTTTTTATTAAATGTAAAATCTACTGTTAATTGCATCTGGTATGTCATATAAACTTTTCTCCTTAACTATTAAATGGAAGCTTTTACAAAAGTCATTAGAGATTCTCTTTCTCTGACTTGTA